GTGCAATAAACATTAAAACAAATACATTCTGTTCTAGAACATATACTTTCCTCCATTAAACAACAGTTGGGATTTCAAGTTTGGAGGTAGCGAGGTAACGAGTCTTCCAGGTTTATTGTGATCTCTTCTAACATGCAAAATCACTGACAAGCAAATGTCAAGGTTAAAGCTGTTGCATCATAATTACGGGCTCAGGACAATGCTTACAATGAACACTATCCAAATAACATGTTCTAGATATATTGTAGCAGGGACACTGAGAGCAGACGTAAACAAGTAAATAAAAAAACAACACTTGTATAATTTCCAAATTAACTGTGTCATCTTGCACAATGTAGTGTTATTATCCGTCAGACATTCATGGGAGGAGGCAGACAATGGAGATATTAAGCCTTTGTCAGCCCTACATAAATTAAGCTTTTGTTGCTCAGATGGTTTCAACAAATGGTTAGTGTACTGATAAACAGATGCCTATTCATTTGTGAACCATAAACATAATTCAAACCAGCCCAAATTACATGGGAGATAACTCTGGAAAGCAAGTTAACTCATCTTGACTACCTGATCACAATCACCGTAAAAAAACAACCATTGTTACATTTACAAATGATATCTGTATTTTTACTGGTTGAGAAAGGGTCAAATAGCCTTCTTTCGCCCAGCACGATTAAGCCAATGGACTCAAAGGAGAGAAATATTTTCAGCCAATCGGCAAGAATGTAACTCAAGACTTGTTGCACATCATCTCCAGTGACTTTTCATGACATCTGAATCAATTATTGTTGAATTTGAAATATTCTTGTCTTTTTATACTATGTAATTAAACAATAACCGACAACAATTCCAGTGGCAGAGGTCAACATCAGTTTCTGGGGTCAATAAAAAATTATATTTCCCTAATGAAAGGTCAATAAATGATAAATAACTGCCACAATAAACCAGATCTTAATTAACCAAATGTTCCCTGGCAACTATGTCAATGAACCTGGACAACTATGTTGCTGAACCCTTAATCAACTGCCTTTAAAAACATATGAAACGTATTGATGACTTGTCAGCACAAACAAAATCCCTGGAAACATTTTCAAGACCAGTACCCAAAAAGGTGTGCGACAGTAATACTATTTGACATTTATGAGCAGGCTACGAACTGAAAATTCAATCAGTTTCTGTGGCTAATCCTGTTGGACTTCCTGCCTGATCCCCTGCTGATAGCCATAATACGGGGATCACACGACCTGCTGCGGAGATTAGACCTGGTCCTGACCCCAGCCCAACGACTGACCCGTACATCAGCCTGTTGACCTTACAACACATGCTGAGTCAGCATAACATCTCCCCGAAACTGGTCCAATAGACATACAAGGAGTTGACAAGTAAATATGTTTCATAATAGTTTCTAATACTCTACGGGGCGGTCGGGTAGCCTAGTGGTTAAAGCGTTCGCTCGTCAAGCCGAAGACCCGGGTTTCGAATCCCGACATGGGTACAATTTGTGAAGCCCATTTCTGGTGTCCCCCGCCGTGATATTGCTTGATATATTGCTACAAGCGGCGTAAAACCAAACTCACTCACTCACTTACTCACTCACTCTATTCCTTACAAGACACAATTAACAAAACCTGGACATATTTGATGATTCTCACAGTGAACCAGGAAGGGGTTTGCATTACACGCAGAAACAGAAGGAACACCATCCCCACCTTTTATCACCTTTTGCCCTACAACTTTTCCACCAGAATCCTGAACTATCTTGACTTCACCAAATCAGGAGAGAGCTGACCTCACCATGTCTGACAATCCTATGATCCCTCATGTTGTGTTAAGCAGTACAACTATAAATCAGGAAAGCCCATACTTAAAGCTTCCTTAATAACAAAGTCATAAGCACTTCAGGGATGGATGGGTAGCCTAGTAGTTAAAGCGTGAGGTGAGGTGAGGTGGGGTTTAACATCACATCCAACATTATTGCACTTATATAGCGCAATGCATGCATGCATGTGTGTGTCTGCCTGTACTAGTCCGGAATGATGCCTATTTATAGTGCTTGCCCACTGAGATACCATGCCACAGTTTAACATGAATACTCAGACACAGTATACTGCCTCCTTGTTTTAGCCTCTTATGCCGAGCGCCAGACAGGGGAACAACAAGTACCATCTTTTAACGTCTTTTGGTATGACTTGGCAAGAGATCGAACCCCGGACCTTCCGCTCTCCGGGCGGACGCTCTACCACTAGACCACGGAGGCAGTTCAGTGAGGCAAGGTGACATGCAATCAGCCAAGTCACCACACCTAACAACATAATCCTCTTTACTCTCCGTTATTGACAAGAATGAAATATACTAGGAATGATTGGGAAGTATTCTACATATTTCACTGAACTATGTCAGAAGGCAATGGGACATACAGGGACTTAAATGGGATTGCTCTGAGACTGATATTTGGCCCCAAGTCTGCAGCAATTTTCAGTAAAAATTCCCAAATGAGAATTAATTTCCTATCTCATGTAAATATATCTATAACTGATGTGATGGTTTGGTGGAGGTGACTTGTATTCAACTGATCACAGGACCATGAATGAGGAAGTGGCTTAAGTTTACATCAGTGTATTGAATGCAATGATAAAACACTTCTGAAACTATAAAAACTATTGGGTCAGACGAAACAAATCAATAGAGTGAGATGAAATTGGGTTGAACGTAGCGTCCAAGATTATTGCACTTATATAGCGACATGCATGCACATGTGTGTGTGTGGCTGCTTGTACTAGTTCAGACTGATGCCGATTTATAGTGCTAGCCCACTGGGATACCATGCCGCAGTTTAACATGAATACCCCACTCAGACACAGTATACTGACCAGTCCTTGTTTTAGCCCCTTAATGCCGAGCGCCAGACAGGGTAACAACAAGTACCATCTTTTAGCAACTTTTGGTATGACGCGTCCGGGGATTGAACCGGGCGGACGCTCTACCACTAGACCACGGAGGCGGTCACAAATCAATAGAGAGAAAATACTATTTGAATAGAGACACTATACAAACATGATGGGTCAGGTATGCTTTGAGGCTAGGTTTACATCAGAGAAAGTAGTTTTCAGTAAGTCTCACTGAGAAATATACAACTCAAAAGAAGTTAAAGAACACCCGATTCTTTCATAGGACAATAGTGAATCTGTAATGCCACCACAGATTATCCATAGTCCTGTGAAAGAACCAGATGTTCTTTAACTTGTTTTGAGTAGTATATAATGTTTGCTTAATCCACAATTGCTTGTATTGAGGTGTTTTGCTCATTTGTTGCAAAAGATCCTTTGACAATAAGAGTGAGTGAGTATGGTTTTACACCGCTTTTAGCAATATTCCAGCAATATCACGGCTGGGGACACTGGAAAATGGGCTTCATGAATTGTACCCATGTTGGGAATCGAACCCGGGTCTTCGGCGTGACCCTTCAACAATAAGACGTCATACCAATGTATTATTGCAAATAATTGAATATTTGTTTGTGTGTTGTTTAATGCGACACTGCAACATTCCAGCATTATGACTGCAGCCTGTTAATAAAGAGTCTGTCCAGTGATTGATACGAAGAGCAACGTCCTACACCGTCAGGGTAAATGAGCCAGCAATTAACCAAGCCACCATCTGACCCATACAGTGACCTTATGTGACAAGAATAGGTTGGGGGCTGATTCTAACCTAGAAACTGCACATGGTTCAATGAAGATGATACATCACATAGCTCATGACATCAGTTGGACATTGTTGCTGTATCTATGTCTGTCAACAGCAAACCATCATTTTCTACATAAAACTAAACCATGGGTAACACAAGCTAACACAATTAAGCAAAGCAGGGCCCACTTGCACAAAGTGATCTTAGCACAAAGACTATAGTAAGCCTATGTTTAAGTATGGGAATTTCCATCATCATAGCACTAAGATTGCTTTGTGCAAGTGGGCCCAGGGCCCCGTTCCACAGAGCGACCTTAGTGCTACGTTGGTCGTAAGCCTATGATAAAGGATGGGAGTTACGACCAACTTAGCACTAAGATCGCTTTGTGGAACGGGGCCCTGGTCTTAGACGTTTAACACTTTGGTGAAACCCACAGGTACAGTTCTGACAAACAAAAACCAGGATTCAAACCCACAATCACAGGTTCCTGGCACACTAAGGGATGCAACTCTGCAAAGTGCATTGCAGTGGCTAGGACGACTGGGCCACCCATGTCACTTAAACCCCTGGAAATGGTGTCAACAATCTGGGAACAGACTATGAGTAATTCCTTGGAGGTTTCTCTTAAAATACACAGCAAGGCAGTCAGTCCTTCAAACAAGTTTTTCCAATGCCATGCAAACTTCTCTATCTCTGCTCAGATACCATAAGTATAACTCCAAACCATATCAATATTCCAGCACCTAGAAATATCCAATAAATTCCTTGACAGGGGCACACTTCAAATGTGCAATAAAACATCTGTACCTTTTGATGATATGGGTTAGGAGCACACATTTCCAACCATTCACACATGAACAAGAATACAATTGAGGAAGGTCTCAGACACTGCTGCCGGGACCCAATCATCAAAGAATTGTATAGAAGCTTTATGAAATGGTCCAGAATTTCTTAACCCCAAAACCTATCAAAGGATGTTTGCAAGAAAGTCTTAAATACTACTGCTCGGGAAATAAACATTTGAACAGTCATAATTATAAACTTTCTACGTGACCTGTCGAATAAACTGTTCAGCACTGCCATACACACTAATGGTTGGACCAGTGTGTATATACCACTTAAAAGAAGTAAAGAACACACAATTCTTTCATACTGTTGTTAATTTGTTGCATGACAGCTTAACTATAGTAATATGAAAGAATCGGGTGTTCTTTAACTTCTTTTGAGTAGTATACATCAAAGTGTAGCAGTTACAATAGCCATGGCGCTAAGATTGCATTGTGCTTGTAAGACCTGAAGGATAAATGTGAAGACTGACCTGTGCCTGGTTGCCATAGTGAGAGTCCAGGAGGACTTTGTTCTGTCCAACCACTTTCAGCACTGGCCGGCGCCGACGGTGAACCTTGTGCAGACTTAGGAACCGAGACCGAAACCTCATCTTGTACTCGGGTAAGGTAAGTTCTGGGAGAAGACATTAGGTTCTGATGAGATTGCATCACTTCTACTGAGAGAAGTGCAACATACTTTCATACACATTGCATCACATTACAGTAGAACATAATTCTCTCAATTCATTCTGACAGAATTCAAGGTCAAGTTTGAAATACAGTGAATCTTTTACATGATTCAACCAATCATTCACACCCGATTTACACAATATACTTACTCTTCAGTAACCTTAGTTGACTCCAGTCAAGATAATATACCAGCTACCACACATGATATACTCAGTGTCCAGTGCCCTGGTCTTTTATAAAAGTAACTATTTCACATGATATACTTACACACAGTACCCAGTGTCAAACAATATACTGACAATAATATCACATGTTATAATTACACACCATGCAGGTTGTGTCATCAACAATATACTGACACTATCACATGATATACTTATTCTCAAGCACACTGTGTCCCCAAGGATATACTGACACTATCACATGATATACTTATTCTCAAGCACAGTGTCACCAAGGATATACTGACACTATCACATGATATACTTATTCTCAAGCACAGTGTCACCAAGGATATACTGACACTATCGAATGATATAATTACTCTAAAGCACACTGTGTCACCAAGGATATACAGAGACTATCACATGATATACTTACTCTCAAGCACACTGTGTCCCCAAGGATATACTGACACTATCACATGATATACTTACTCTCAAGCACACTGTGTCCCCAAGGATATACTGACACTATCACATGATATACTTACTCTCAAGCACACTGTGTCACCAAGGATATACAGACTATCACATGATATACTTATTCTCAAGCACACTGTGTCACCAAGGATATACTGACACTATCACATGATATACTTACTCTCAAGCACACTGCGCAATCAAGGATATACTGACACTATCACATGATATACTTATTCTCAAGCACACTGTGTCAACAAGGATATACAGACACTATCACATGATATACTTACTCTCAAGCACACTTTGTCACGAAGGATATACAGAGACCATCACATGATATAATTACTCTCAAGCACACTTTGTCATCAAGGATATACTGACACTATCACATGGTATACTTATTCTAAAACACACTGTGTCAACAAGGATATACAGACACTATCACATGATATACTTACTCTCAAGCACACTTTGTCACCAAGGATATACAGAGACTATCACATGATATAATTACTCTCAAGCACACTTTGTCATCAAGGATATACTGACACTATCACATGGTATACTTATTCTAAAACACACTGTGTCAACAAGGATATACAGACACTATCACATGATATACTTACTCTCAAGCACCCTGTGTTCTGACTCCAGAATGGACGACTTGGCATTCCCAAGGGGCGCCGTCTTCTCGGGCTTCGCCCTCATCTTAACATCAGCTGAAAACAAAAACTGTACTGTTATTTCCGAAAACAAAGCTTTAATGACATCATATAGAACTATCCTGCACAGTGCTGTCAATATGTCAAACAATTTCGACTTCAACATCCCCATCCTGTTTGTAACATAACAGACTTTTTTTCAGTACCATTCATAAAAACAGGAAATATCTTTTTTCAAACAATATGAGAATCCAAAGAAAAATATCTATTTCCAAACAAGTGTTCAGGGCTGGGACTCGGAGCTGATACTGAAGTTTGTGTCATTTCTCAGTAAGTACCGTGTTATCACACAAGTATTTTAAATGGAACGAGACACAACAGCTGCTTCGTCATGAAGCAAGGAGGTGAACAAACCCTTAAGGACAAAACATGCTACAAACAAACTGCAAACTGTCAGTTCCACTGTGTAGGTAGCCTGAATCACCTGGTGTTTGTCACACTTTATTGACAGAATCATCACAGTAGGACCTGGCAGACTTACCATGGTATTGACAAAAAAAGATCATTATTTCAAGAACTTGCAATGTGTTCAAGACTATTTGATTGGCATTCTAGAAAGTGGGAGGTAAATAAGAATATCATACATCTTTATGGATAACAACTTCTGGTTTATCGTATGTAGCAACATTTTGATGTCGATTCTTACACCGTTATCAAACTGGCGTGATACACAAAACTGACTTTCCCAAAATGTCAAATGTGTATTTTGTGCAGAAATAACAAAACAACAAGTAGACTAAAATTATTTATTATATTTGGCACAAGAATAGGGAGCTGGCTCGGTTGTTGCTTACGAATGGTTAATGTTTTATGAGCTTGGTTGCAGGGGCAAACCGGCCTGGACAACCGTGGGTTGCAGGGGCAAGCCGGCCTGGACAACCGTGGGTTGCAGGGGCAAGCCGGCCTGGACAACCGTGGGTTGCAGGGGCAAGCCGGCCTGGACAACCGTGGGTTGCAGGGGCAAGCCGGCCTGGACAACCGTGGGGAAGCAGCTGCTTGTAGGGGCAAGCCGGCCTGACAAGAGCTGTGTGAGCAGGGGCAAGCCGGCCTGGACAACCGTGGGGAAGCAGCTGCTTGTAGGGGCAAGCCGGCCTGACAAGAGCTGTGTGAGCAGGGGCAGTAGCTGGCCTGCGAAGAGGGATTTGAAAACATGTTTGAATTTGAATATGAATTGGGGGGATTATGAAATGAAAGCCCACAACGAGGTAACAACCGAGAGCCCCCAATGAAAATATAATGTTTACATTTATATATAGTGGCCATAACTGAGTATCTCTATGTATGCACTGGCATACAAGTGTTAATTGTCACACAAGTATACACTGGCATACAGAGGTGTTAATTTATATTAATATATTAATTTAATTCTTAAATATGTACAGTACCCAAGGTAGCTAACATCTTCATCTGATTTGTTGATGAATTATGAATTTAATTACAAATTTTGAGATTCTGAACCATATATTTATATATATATATACATGTATATCATTTGGAATTATTAAGTTAATAAAATATATATATATATATATATATATATATATATATATATATATATATATATATGTACACACACAAAAGTTATAAAAAGCTGTGTGGCATAACTATGAAAAGGAAAAACAATTGAAACTCCCAATTATTGCCCAGCATGATAGTTAAATACACCATAAAACAGTTATATACACCATAAAACAGTTATATACACCATAAAACAGTTATATACATCATAAAACAGTTACCGGTATATACTCCATAAAACAGTTATAGACGTTCTTTAGAGAGGGCAGTTACATAAATCTTGCAAAAGATGAGACAAAAAACATTGTAGATATGAAAAATGGATTGAAACCATAATTTAATCTGCACGAGGACTATGAAACAATATACCTGCACTAAAACGTACAGATTAAACCATGCTCTGTGGTCATGAAACTGTGGGAAGGATTAGATTACTCCTTGGAAACACAACTGGAGGATAGAACAGCTACCATAACAAAGAGTGTCATTATCTTTGAGATTAGTAACAAAACCTTCCAATGGGTGAAGGCTGGATGAGAACAATTCCGCTGGGTCATCGGAACAACAATCATCTATGACACCCTGGTAATCGAAACAAAACAACACTGGGACACAATTGCATCAATAGTCTTTACATGATCCATACTTACATCTTTCAAACCCCACCAATAACTGGCTCCCCTCATTGTATCACCAAGTTCAGGGATGCGACCATTCCCATGGTTAAAAGCATGTGTAGAGACCAACACTAATGACAAATCAATGCCACATGGTCGCCAATAATAACAGCAGAACTTGCACCATAATACCTTCATTTCAAAGTTGCTACGAAGGTCAATAATTCAACATTGTCATCGAAGATACAACTTTGAGCAAGTGAGAAAGTTTTCTTTTCCAAGTGTCGCCTGAAAAGATTTTTGCTTGGTGTTTACACCCCTCTGAGCTAATAGCTGATAAACGATACACAAATGTTGACAGGGGGACAACAAACCGGCAATGTAGGAGTGTTCAGGAGACCTCAGCTAGACATAGTATCCCTCTGAAAGTGCACCTCCAGCTCTAAGCATCCTGCCTTGTTACAAGAAGCCATGGACAAGCATATCAAATTTGTGCTAATTGAAACAAGGTGGTCTGGTAATTATCTTCTATAGTGAAGCCCCTCAGAGCCCTTATCAAGCAGATGGTGGGTACTGTATTCCTTCCAAAATGAGCATCATTTACCACAAAGGATGTGGCATTGAGCATATTGTTGAGATATTCAACTCTCTTAAAAATATGAACACCAGAATTTCTCTGCTTAATCCTGTAAAAGATCATAACAGACTTTCATATATAAAAACTTTAACTAAACAATTTTATGGATGCATTTCAATATTTTTTGTTAGAAAATGTGTTTAATTAACCTGTTTGATAACTCAGGTCAGAAATGCTCCATTCCATATTGGTATAATGTTAGTATATGGACAAAATATTTCAAAGCAACCATCAATTTTGACTGACCCACTACAATGAAGACTAACATATAACCCAAGAACATAAGTTATGTACAAGGTTTAATCAAAATAATTCTGTAAAGGAACCAAGTCTTTTAATGTTTAAATTATATTTTAAAAAGCTTAAAATGGGATGAGAATTGAACAGGGATGATAGTTTAATAAAATGCAAGCTGTATGGTCTGTAACAGAGACAAACTACATCATTTGTCAGTACAGTTTTCTACGACAACTACGGTAATTATCATACAGTACGCCTTGTACATGTGGTTTCATTAAACATTCATCCCCAATGCTTGCTGGATTAGTGGAAATCCTATTGAGAGCACTAATGACGCAAGGGAGTTAACTGATATTTTTTTTAACGTTATGTAATAAAGCTAAGAAAACAAAGTAAATCTTATCTCCCATCGTTAAAAGGTTGGTCGGAATGTACAAAACTGGCAATGGTGTTCTTCAGTGAGAATGACGCTGTTGCCGTTTGAGATGAAACATTTTTCCAATCACAGCTGATTGATGTATGTTTGATGCCAATCCTGACCAAATATTGTCTTCATTACAAAGTGTATCTAACTTCATCAATTTCCTTTCAACATGACGCTTGTTGTTGTCCCCAAAATCCTTCTGGCATGGTAGGACAGGCATAGAGGGAAGGGAAAAAATTATACCAAAGAAATTGTTTTATGTCACTTTCTTAGACTTCTTGACAACAAACGATCTTTTTGTTATTGCAAAGAAACAAACACATATTACAGTTGCACTAGAAAAGACTAGAGTAAAGATGTTTTTCAAAGACACAGCGTAAGGACACACAGACAGAAAGTCGACTTGTGTGATCGTGCTTCTCACGTCACGGGCCAACTAAACACACTCTATAAACAAGGTGTATAGGCAACCAACAGAAGGTGCTACAGGGGAATTGCAACTCTTTCATAAATTGCACAAGAACTTGTGAAGTTTTGTGAGTAATACTGAGCCCATATACTTCATTCCCTGGCTCAAGTTAGCAAACGCTCTTCAAAATCCCATAGAATATTAGCATATTCAACATGCGAATAAGATATTTGGAGTATTCTTGTTGATACATTTACTAAAAACAATCTCCTTACGCATGTTATAACAATTTCACAAACTATTATAAAAATCCTGAAAAATTATGTGTAAGCGCAACATATGAAAAAAACATTTGAATGATGTTTTATGAAACTGATGCCGCCAATTCATTTTGTTGGATTTTTTCAACCTACTTAACATTGTAAGGAAAACAAAAAAAAGATTTTTTTTTAAATTGGAATTATTTTTATTTTTCAACTACCAACCTGAATAATGGGGGCCAAAAATCTGTACCCCGCAAAAAGAAATACAGTATAGAGTTCACAAGAAATATCAGGGCTAAAAGCATTTTCACAAATCAGTTTCATAAAATAAATACAGAATGAAATCTTGATATCAGTGGTCAGTTTCTCTTGGAATGAGTATAAAGCTGCTTGTGTTCAATGCTGCTCATCATCACCATCATCATCATCATCATCATCATCATTTTCTATGTAGAAAACAGACTCTATCATCCTATTTTTGCTACTATCTACCACTATATTTCAAGCCATTTTTAATGTCAATAATCTCTATAAAACCTATTCATCATCATCATCATCATTTTCTATGTAGAAAACAGACTCTATCATCCTATTTTTGCTACTATCTACCACTATATTTCAAGCCATTTTTAATGTCAATAATCTCTATAAAACCTATTCATCATCATCATCATTTTCTATGTAGAAAACAGACTCTATCATCCTATTTTTGCTACTATCTACCACTATATTTCAAGCCATTTTTAATGTCAATAATCTCTATAAAACCTATTCATCATCATCATCATCATCATCATCATTTTCTATGTAGAAAACAGACTCTATTATCCTATTTTTGCTACTATCTGCCACTATATTTCAAGCCATTTTTAATGTCAATAATCTCTATAAAACCTATTCAAACCAAATCTGTAACCAGAATGATCCACCAAGGTACTCACCCTATCAAATTTACACAGATCAAACAACTTGGCCTTTTTAATTTGACCAGATCGTAAATCCTTCAAACATTCCCTTCCAATATCATTATCCCAAGTCAAATGTAAACATGGAAAGAAAAAGACTCACTGCGCCAAGAGGCAAGCACATTTCAAAGACGAACATGTAAATGATTCAATACAGAAACTGTAAAGTCACCTCATTCAAAGGTTCTTTTGAGGCCTGATCACTACCTCTGCTCAATAATAACAATGTTGCTATCAAAGATCAGGTCGGCCTTACCTACACCTGCCTTAGTGTCAGCTGATACTGTCTCATGTAATCGGTAACCCATCATACTATTAAGTGTCATAAGACACATTCATTCAAGATAGTAATTTAGAGCTACATGATACTAAAATACTTGGTATTTGTTCAAAGAAAGTTCGACTTGAGAAAAATTACCTCCATTAGCAATAAAACTTTGATGTGACTGACTGACATTTCAAAAAAATAAGTGAAAATGATGTTTGAACTACTAACCACTCGAGCACTGACACCAAATATAACACATTGTGTATGGATATAATAAGAGAAGAGGCCTTGTCCAATTTCTGTTACAGTGAATACAGTTATTGGTGAAACTACCACCTTCCTTGACAAATATCGTGAGATTTGAGCTCACTTAAAACTTACAGGTTCCAGCATGTACTGAAGTCTGCCATTTGGCCACAAGTTTTAGAAGTCCAGTAAAATTTCAATCTTGTAGTGAGTAAGAGAGTATGGTTTTACGCCGCTCTTAGCAATATTCCAGCAATATCACTGCGGGGGACACCAGAAATGGGCTTCACACATTGTACCAATGTCGGGAATCGAACCTGGGTCTTTGGCGTGACGAGCGAACGCTTTAACCACTAGGCTACCCGACTGTCCCTTCAATCTTGTAACATCAGCCAATAATAACACATTATTAGTCTCTGACTCCATCAGATCCTGGAACAAGTCAACAATACTTCAGGAAAAGACAAGTAAGGGCTAGTAAATTGAAATGTTTGGTTATTTTTGCGCAAGACAACTTAATGTGAGGTGAAATGGGGTTTAACGTCGCGTCCAAGATTATTGCACTTATATAGCGATGTGCATGCACGTGTGTGTGTGTGTGGCTGCTTGAACTAGTCCGGACTGATGCCGATTTATAGTGCTAGCCCCCTGAGATACCATGCCGCAGTTTAACATGAATACCCCACTCAGACACAGTATACTGACTCCGAGCCGACCAGTCCTTGTTTTTAGCCCCTTAATGCCGAGGGCCAGACACGGTAACAAGTACCATCTTTTAACGTCTTTTGGTATGACAAGGCCAGGGATTGAACCCCGGACCTTCCGCTCTCCGGGCGGACGCTCTACCACTAGACCCCGCAGGCGGTCAGACAACTTAATGAGATCCAACAATAACATGTCTCAGGATTGTACAAAGGTTTTGTTTGTTTGTCTGTTTACCGCCGCACTCAGCAATATTCCAGCTATATGATGGCGGTCTGTAAATAATCAAGTCCGGACCAGACAATCCAGTGATTGATATCATGATCATCGATCCACGCAATTGGGATCGATGACATGCATCAACGAAGTCAGCGAGTCTGACCACCTGATCCGGTTAGTTGCCTCTTACGATAAGCATAGCCGCTTTTTATGGCAAGCATGGGTTGCTGAAGACCTATTCTACCCCGGATCTTCACGGGTCACAAATATTCAAGCCATATTGCAGCAGTCTGTCAAAAATGGACTCTGGACAGGATGATCTAGTGATTGACAACATGAGCTTCGATCCACACAATTGGAATTAAATGACATGTAATTAATTAAGTCACCTAACATGACTGCCCGATCCATTAGGTCATCTCTTACAGCCAGTATAGGCTGCTTGTGAGACATTCTACCCTGGCACCCCAATGGGGAACCAATTATGTACATTATCATCCTTTAGTTTTGAATTTCAAAACAAGATATTTGTTCCCTAGTGGTAGTCATAACATGCTTATATGACTACAGACTAAAACTTAAAACAATAACACAGGTTAAAAAAACCCAGTAGTTTATCTGTAAACATGATGACAGTGTCAACATATGAATCTTCTTTGTAGAGTTAGATCAATATATTCTGACGTCAGTCTCTCTGATAATTCCTGACACTTCAAATGCAAAGACTATTATGGCACTTCTGACAGCAAAGGGAGTGGTCCGTTTTAGACCTGTTTATACTTATTTTCGTATTCGTAATAATAAACATATTTTCTTTCAGACTTTTACAAAACAGCTACGGAATGACCAGTATGAAGTTTGTATTATTTGACAGTTAACCCAACACACAATCAGAGACATGTTGCAGCATCATATATTTGTTTGTTTGTTTGTTTCTTTCTTTCTTTCTTTCTTTCTTGTTTAACACTGCACTCAGCAATATTCCACCTATATGACCGCAGTCTGTAAATAATCAGGTCTGGACCAACAATTCAGTGATTGACATAATGAGCATCGATCCACTCAACTGGGACACGATGACATGCATCAATCAAGTCAGTGAGCCTGACCACCCGATCCCGTTAGTAGCCTTTTACGACAAGCAAAGTCACTTTTTACTGCAAGTATGGGTTGCTGAAGACCTATTCTACCCCGGATATTCATGGGTAACCATCATAGGTAAATAAAAGCTATAAAACCTTTCCGTAGCCACAAGAAATCTTTGCTAAAATCAGTCGATTGTATGACTCCAAATGTGTCATGAGTACATGTTTACGAACCACTATCAAATAGTGATGATACCAGATGTTCACGGAGGGTACAAATGTGGCACCCATCAAAAACACATGCAAAGGCAAGTCAAGTGAAGAAATATGGGGACACATGGTACAAATAAAACAGGGTCTGTAATTCTGTAATGCATTCATATATGGTTTAATCACAGCTGCCAAAAGAAGCAGCCTATATTTTCAAAATTACCAAAACTACCAGTGACAAAGTTCTGATATTGTCCTTCATGATTTGGTAATTTAACAGATGCATGCAAAGTATGGACGTCAGTTGCTATCGGCTGCAGTAGAGTACATTCTATTTTCAACACGAAGGAAAGTAATCTATAGCTCCTCATAGCCTTGAATTCACGCAACTGTATATTGTCTTACATGGTATGTGGTTGAAAATAAATTGACAGCTAAGTTGGCAAGGTGACTTCTAAGGCAAAATGTTGTTTTAACATCGTCTAAAACAATAAAAGTTCAGCGCAAATATTGTCAAGAACTAACCTGAAATTGAAGACATTTTTTATCTGTTGCCAGTGTTGGATGATGGGTAATGTTTATGAACTCCCCACATAACCATCTTCATGTGAATGTAATGTTTTATCGTCACTATTCCAATAAGCACAATACAACACTATATACCTTAGGTAGACCTTCATTTATGATACAGCCAAAGTTATGAGCACCACACACAGACACATATACATGATGTGTAACAAAGATACACAATGTAACAATCATCACTCTATAACACCGTCATTATAAAAACAGATAAACCACCTCGAAGAAGGGGCCTAAGGCTCTGGAGAAAGTGTATTTAATTGAAAAATTAGGTATTCTTGTCCCAGTGTACACTTGCATCTAAAATGACTATCATCCCCTCCCTCTCCAGTTTCATTGCAGGATTTGGTTGGTTTGTTGTTTAACGCCGCATTCAGCAATATTCCAACTTTATGACGGCGGTCTGTAAATAATCGAGTCTGGACCAGACAATCCAGTGATTGATATCATGAGTATCGATCCATGCAAATGGGATCGATGACATGCATCAACCAAGTCAGCGAGCCTCACCACCCGATCCCTTTAGTTGCCTTTTACGTTCTCAAAGGAAAACTCGTTGACTTGGTTGATGGACCGCCGTCATATAGCTGGAATATTGCTGAGTGCGGCGTAAAACAACAAACAAGCAAAATCACAGAAAAACAAACCCACAGAAACAAGTATCTACAGTTGAACTACATTGTCGGGAACTTGGAATCACCATGGTCTAAGGGTAATAAGGTCAAGTCTCTGGTCCTCACCAGTTCAAAACAACAGGATTCCACAGTAAATCTTTTGACACCATCTGTAAACACACTCGTGATGTCAAAACAATTAACTTTGATTTCACAACGTTTTGCCAAAATAATAATGTAACTTTCCATAAGAATGAGAATAAAACAAAAAAATATAAAGAAAAGACTAAAATATAAACTTACCAAGTGTCCGAACGTATATTGCATTTTTGTCTGCCTTGTCAAATGAGATTCCACCCCGTCTCTGCAAAGTAAAGAGAAAATGCATTATCATCCTGTCTTGAAACATTAATATATACAGAGTGTATTCAACAATGTAGGTAATAATTCAGTTATTCATCACAAAAAAATTCCCATGAACACCCAACAATGTCACAGTAACATAATAATGTACGATTTGCAATACCAATCATACTGTGCAAGGTCACGGTTAACAAAACTACAATACAACAATATTTACAATGACTTGAAAAGGCAACCATTAAGATGAACTACACTTACAAGGTAGATGAAGTGACTCAAAATACAAAAATGTTAATGATCACTGCAACCTATATTTCTGGTATCCTATGGAATCACAAGACGCTCCGCCACAACACTGGCGGGTTGACTAGGTCACGGCTGTACGCTTTCCTCACAAAGCAAAGATGACGTGACACAGGATATGATGCTTTGTCCAAACCGAATATGAACACAGGGGTGTTACCCGCATGTATTCATTGTACGTACTCAAGCGGTTACAAGAAACTCAAGCTATAAGCAGTGATAAGGTGGTCCTTCTCTGGGCCGAAAAACAATATTTGCTTTCTTTTATTCTACTTGTATGTTATTGTAAACAGTACTGTGAGTGAGTGAGTGAGTGAGTGAGTGAGTGAGTGAGTGAGTGAGTGAGTGAGTGAGTGAGTGAGTGGAGCATAAAGTCAAGTGCATTCAGATTAGTGTCTACAAAGTCTGTCACAATACAGTTTTTAAATATATGTCATGAAAATATTCTCAGTAATGCTGAAAGAGCTGCAGAATTTTCAGTTACCGTATTCGACGTAATAAGCGCCCAGCTCTAATAAGCGCCCACGGCGATATTTGCTGATATATTGGCTAGTGAACAAGCCCAATTTGCATCCCTTCCCATTGATTAATGTACACAAGAGTTATTTATTCGGTATAATACGCACACGTGTGTTATATGCACCCTTATTTATGGGCAATTAAAATCTGGAAAAATATATCTGTCGTGCATAAACATTTAAGGCTGTCAGCATAAACAACGAAGTTTATCTTTCAACTATGTTTTTTTTCAGCAAAATAATATTCTAATAAGAGCCCCCTATTTCTAATTTTGAGAGCGCCCCGGGCGCTTATTACGTCGAATACGGTATGTTACATCTTACATCGATTATTCGACGCAAATCTTAACTTGTTGGTGCACATGACACGTGTATGTCAAGCAGTATCACAAACATCAATGGTCAGACACAATGTTATGACACTCTTTTAGGTTTCACCAGTGTATCAGATCAATGTGGGATGAAAGCCATGTCATTGATGTTTGCCTCTTGAAACCCACGAGGATGGGTATGGTGCTGACAAACCAAAGATGATAATCAGGGAGAATCTCGAATCCAAACATGGTCATGTGATGGAGTGAGTGAGTGAGTTTGGTTTTACGCCGCTTTTAGCAATATTCCAGCAATATCACGACGGGGGACACCAGAAATGGGCTTCACACATTGTACCCTTGTCGGGATTCGAACCCGGGTCTTCGGCGTGACGGGCGAACGCTTTAACCACTAGGCTACCCGACCGCCCCGAATGTATTCAGAACAATATAAGTCAGGGATATTTTTTATAAAACACTGTGCTCAGTCTTCACTAAAAAAAATACAGTAAACTGCATTTGATGTTGGAGGAAAGTCGGAAGTGATGCTGGCCTACTTTGTTGATGCATATCATTGTATCCTAATTGCGTTGGCGTTGGCTACCCGACCGACCGACCCTTCTCAGCACAGTGAATATAACCTTAACTGCAGCTAGTTCCTGAATAATGTACTTATATATAGGATAACTTTCTTTCTACTGCATGGGCCTGAACATATGGTGACCGCCTCTGTGGTTTAGTTGTAGTGCCTACGCCCTGTGAACGGAGGGTCAGACAGGGTAACAACAAGTACCATCTTTTTGGGGTATGATGGGGACGGGTATCGAACCCAGACCTTCCGCTCACCGGGCGGACGCTCTACCACAAGACCACAGAGGCAGTCCTACAGTATGGTATCTCAGTGGGGCTAGCACTATAAATCAGCATCAGTCCGGACTAGTACAAGCAGCCACACATACACGTGTATGCACTGACACACAAGTAACACCTGCAAGCTGCAGACTGTGCCAGTCTTCTAGCCCCAACTTGGCACTTAGCATCATTTCTTGTACTTCTTAGTGTTAGTGTCATACGGACTATTGTCAGCTGATCTTACTGGACCGAACAGAATTTTACTGGACTTGGTCTTCAGATTAGTGGCTAAACTCACAGACTGGGCTGTCATTATAAGTCCCCGATACTACTCCTTGTCACCTCTTATAAGCACAGGAATCTGAATACTCCTGCAATGGAATCCACATACATCCATGGGGATTCTGGGTTAGATTAGGTCCCCTGAGCAACATGCTTGTCGCAAGAGGCGACTACATGAATCCGGAGGTCAGGCGGACTTCGTTGAATACATGTCAAGGTATGTCAGTTGCATGCATCAATCATGATGTCAATCGTCCAGACTTTATTACGAACAGATCACCGTCTCATTTCTAGTCACCTCTTACAAGCAGTGTGAGGAGCCTGTGAACAATTCTGGTGCATTTCTTTTTTTTTTAACATCGCACTCGGCAATATTATATATGACGTTGGTCTGTAAATAATCGAATCTGGACCGGACAATCCAGTGATAGACATCATGCGCATCGATCTATGCAATTGGGATACAATGATATGCATCTACCAAGTCAGTGAGCCTGACCACCTGATCCCATTAATCGCGTCCTACGACAAGCATGGGTTGCTGAAGACCAATTCTAGCCCGGAATCTGGTGTGAATCCACAAGGTGAGTACCAGTGACTTGAGAAGTCATGGGGATAGTATTGTACAATTTATATTTATACCAAATAATGTATGCTCCTTCAAAGAACATGAATGTTTTGTAACAATATATGGCCATACGACACGACACGACACGACACGACACGACATTCTTTACATGTAACCATGGTAACAGCACATACAGATTTATTTAATCTTTGGTTAATCCTTACAGCATTAGCTACGGACATAAAAATATACTTGGTTCAACTAATAAATAACTACAAACAGGATTATGACCATTAACAGTACTTAGATTACATATCAATTTTCACAAAGAATCTCTCATTTCAGTGCTCCAACTTTTATTATGATCCCCCAAGAGGTCCATCTTTTTAGACAAACTATTTGTATAATCCAATAAAGCACCTGTAGCTCCGATACCCAGTGTGAGGTCAAGGAATCGGGTCAAAGATTATCTGAGTCATGGGCTTGCAACAGTACATTAGCACTGAGCATTACATAACATGATATTTCTGTCTTAAGTACTTAATAACCGAGGCCTGGTCAAACAGTTTGTTGTTTTACACCGCACTCAGCAATATTCCAGCTATATGACGCCAGTCTGTAAATAATCGAGTCTGGACCAGACAATCCAGTGATTGACATCATGAGCATCGATCTACGCAATTAGGATACAATGATATGCATCAACAAAGTAGACCAGCATCACTTCAGACTTTCCTCCAACATCAAATGCAGTTTACTGTATTTTTTTTAGTGAAGAATGAGCACAGTGTTTTATAAAAAATATCCCTGACTTATATTGTTCTGAATACATTCGGGGCGGTCGGGTAGCCTAGTGGTTAAAGGGTTCGCTCGTCACGCTGAAGACCGGGGTTCCATTCCCAACATTGGTTCAATGTGTGAAGCCCATTTCTGGTGTCCCCCGTCGTGATATTGCTGGAATATTGCTAAGAGCGGCGTAAAACCATACTCACTCACTCACTCACTCACTCTGAATCCATTCAGCTTATATCAGTTCATATCTTAGTGCACTTTACCCTATTATTTTACTTGTGATCATGTGAGTTCGAACCCCAGTTCGCTCCGATTATGTTTCTAGGTTTGTCAGAACCATACCCGTGCTCGGGGGTTTCACCGAAGTGGTAAATGTCTGAGAACTGCATCACTTCGGGCTTTCCTCCCACATTAAGCTGACACGCTGTGATATAACTGTAATACTGTTAAAAGAGGCGTTAAACCCAACTCACTCACTCACTACTACTCAATATCTTGTGGCGACTAAATTCTATTGCTACACATATGTAGACACAAAAATAAACAACAGTTGATCTTGGAAGACACGTCTGTTACTAATTGTACTCACAAATAATTCTTCCTGAAGTCAACATAAATATTAATGTACAGTCAAGTCCTATTAATCCGACATTGTTGTTTGCATATGATTATGTCGGATTAAGAGTATGTCGGATAAACGAAATTAGGTAGTATCAACGTTTGTGATCGAAAACTGGACAACTACATGATAGATAACAATACGAACACATAATTAAAAAAAGGAAAAAAGGAAATATTCATATTGTTGTGTTACATTGTTAGCGGAATATGGTTTCTAATCATGCAACCTCTGAAGTTTAACACATTCAAAATACTTTTTTAAGCATAATCTGGAATGGAAGTTGCCAATTTGAAACTAGTGCCGCAATGCTTAAGAAAGCTGCTTCCTTAGTGGCTAATGTCGACTTCCTGCTAGTAATTTCATTGGTCGGTCAAAGTTCGCGAAAGGTCGTTCTGACGTGACCTGTAATGGGATGTCCTCAGCAGTAGCGAGAACTTGTATCAGATTTTAATGAGATTTAGGTAATATAGGCAAGTAATTAATCCTTTTTTGTTTATTTAAGGCAGTAATTGTTTATTGTTAAGCAAGTTTATCTCTGCAGCCGTTGAAATATGCAGCTACTTGCCGACTCGTCTCGCATCAAAACACAGGTTGTGTACTCGCGGGCAGATGACCATGGAGTACGCTGATCACTGTGTCGGATTAACAAGACTGATTAATGAGTGATTTCAGCAATTCATTGCAAATTAGGTGTGTCAGAGTCCGGAGTGCGAGACCTTTGGATTAACAGGTCTATATAGCACTGATTTAATC